CCTCAATTCTCCAACAGCCTACGAGGCACTTGGCAATCCATGTGACGACCGAGCCAGTGTAACGCTAGATAATTGCAATACCATGCAGAGCAGGTGGCCAAGTCTTAAGGGAGATCTCGCCTTGGTCGGCAACCCTCCTCTTTTCTCGCCTAGGCTTTGGATCGGCAGCGACGGGACTACACGTCAGACAAGTTTTGTGACTCAACGCGATGATCAGGAGCAAGACATTAAATTTGACTCTTTGACTGAACTGATGGTATTGAATCGCTCAAATTTCTGAAATCCAGAACTTTGCCAATTCAAAGATTGGAGACGCGTGATAATACAGCAGACATAATAACTGGATACCGCTTTGGAAAACGAAGAAATTGCTCATTACCGGAGCGACAAGTGTTTTGTGCAGAATTCAGGTTCGGACAACAGACAGTGATGTCGAAGAGCTTTGATACTCAAATTAAAATCTCTCTCTAGTTTCAGTTATAAAATGTCAGCCATAACTGCTTTATAATTCACCCAAGTGTTTTATGAATAAATATTCTTCCGTGCAAATCAAAAAGCGCCGCCATGGCTAAGGCATGCCTGATTTAAAAAAGTGGTTTGAAGAAAACGTAGCTTCGCTTGCACATCGTCACGGCAAGCGTAGCGGCCAATTAAGCGCTTGCGACAAACGTCTGTGCTAGAATTCGGTTCGAGTCTTTTCTGAGACTGAGGCTCAAGAACTTTGTTTTTGGAAGCGATTGTGCAATTGGTTTAATTTTAGAAAGTTTAGGATTTAGTAGGAATGACGTAACTGAAAAGCGGGGGTGTGGTTTATTCTCGCACCTTTGCGTTCCGAAAATATGGTTTCAAGTTTCCAAAATGGCGTGAACTTTGTTTCTTCGTTTGGTTTCACAACGAAGTCAGGCTGGCATTGGCGTTGGAAGAATGTACATCAATCGAATCTTCGGGTCACGCTGCACGCCTGAACACCGTTACCGTTTCCAGCTGCCAACCATTGTGTGCTTAATAGACTTTTGACGGCGTTCGATTCGGTTCATTGAGACCGTGGCGCATTAAAGAAATGAATGGCGTTGTCCAGAAACCAATGAACCAAAGTGAAGAATCCACCTCAGGGCACGAGCAACAGTCCGAACCAGTAGCGAACTGACAAACAATTTAGACATTGTTTCTGGCGTCCGTCAGGCGTCATCTCCCTGTTCTCCCTGTTCTTCTTCACTAGTGATGGAATTATGTGAACCATCGCCTGCGTCAAAGTTATTCATGGTAATCATATCACTGATCTTGTCTATGCTGCGGAAATCGTCGTCATGGCATCGAACTATGCAATCATGACTGCTGGCAACGGTGGGATTAGTCAACAACGCAGTAAGAGCGAGAATATTCTCCAGTGGGAATCCGCAACAAGAGAAAAAGCCCATCCTCATGTGTATGTGTGTGTGTGCGATTTCCTTTGAAGAATACCCTTCAAATACCCTGGCCCCTCCGTCCTTCCCAGTGGATAGTCTGAAGATGAAATTACGACTCAGACAGCAACAGAAACGGGTTCGTTCCTACAGCTCCATAAGTGGATGTGGTAACAACGAGAAATCAGTCTCAATACGAAATGCCAATTTTTGCAGACTCAAATCCACTTCATTTTCTTTCATGGATGCTAGAGCTGGGCGGTAAAAGTAAAAGTACGAGGAAACTAGAAACTATAATACCACCAGTGCTTGCGAGTTATCTGGCGTACACGATTTATATTTGTTCAACGTCACAATCCGCGCCCGTTGCAACATCATTCAGCTCTCTACTGTCTTGAAAGAACGGTAAATATGTTAACTGGGACACGTGCACAGACGTCCACCAGACGATACTTCCATTTTATTGACCACCACCCACAACCATGGACGTCACAGGAAAAGAAACCGTACTAGTTACGTTCTTGTGGGGCAGTGACGGAATCAACGTTTAAGTCCTCTCTGGGTCGGCATCGTGTGGTACAAGCGGTTGAAGAAAGACTATCTGGACGTTACAGCGGACATTGCAGGGTGATCGGCAGAGATGGAAAGCGGCGCACCGACGCACCGCACGTCTCCAGAACCGGCTAGACCACGGATAGGGAACATCCGTAAGAACAACAACAACAAACTCAGCTCAGCAATGTAACCAGATTCAAAGTAAGTCTATGGCCTGTGGAAAGCAATAGACACTTTTTTTCAAATGCATTAACTTCGACGAGATTTGGGTTTTCGTGATTAACCGGCGATTAGAAAATCTTTGCTGATTCCGTACATCGTTCAAATCAAAACCTCCGGTTGTATCTATCGCTAAATTGGTTGATCAAAATAGCTTGTATCTCATGCAAATGTTCAACAATAGTTGCAGTGCAGCGCTTCAAAACTCAGTGAGGTGCATCACCAACTGCGTGAGAGAACTGTGCTGAATTGAATCACATGATTCGTTGGCAATTCCCTGCAGCACGTTTTAACCGTCCGGCACGGGCATATCGCCAAATGCAATTATATATTCAATTGTGACACGGTAACTTTACACCCCTCCCCCACAAAATTTAACTGAGGTGACGCGGAGAGTCAAACTGCAGTGGAGCGCTTGCCATTTCATATGCAGATGGCCGGTCTGCGGCCTAGCCGATCGCCAGGCCAGATCGGGGAAAATCAACGTCGAGAGGCTGCAACACACACGCACTAGCCAAAATGTCGTTTTTCGTCTATTCTAACGAAACGCGGCAAACGTCGTTACTTCAAAACGCGTATCGACTCGTTTGTCATAATTGAATGGTCGTCTAAATTAGTGATACGAAAGTAAAACTTGGCATTTGACCTTGTTAAGATTTTCGGCGAAAGAATGGCACACGATCGAAAAGATAGCAATAATAATTGATATAGAAGCGACGTACGGTCGCCCGCAGGCATTCAAGAAAACTTTCCACACCTACTTCAAACATTTGTTCTGCTCTGAATCTGAAGCCGTCGCACTCACGACCGTTCGTGGAATGAACTTGCGCTTCGCAATTCGTCCATGAAAGCGACTGAAACGTGAAATGCGAACACAACAGGACCATTCTTCATGGATGCAAATTGCCGTACTTTGAAGCCGCACTGCTTAGGCACAAAACTGTTGAAATGGCATAGAATATTTTGACTTTAATCTTATGCTTCTAATTTCATATGGTCAAGAGTTCGCAAGACTGCATACTCCATTACCTACACGTCAATGATCAAATTTAAAGCGAAAATTAAGTTTTAATTCAGAGCGTACCTTTGAACTTCGTCGCTAATCACAAACGAAACCCATCGACATTGCGAAAGAGTCTGCTGTTCGCAATTGACGCCTGCAAACTGAAATACGCTTTTTTGCCGTTTTTACCGTTTTTTTCGTTTTTCAGTCAAACCTGAAACGTGGTAAAATAAATCAGGCCGACCCATTTCAAGAAAATGGGACAGCACTGATGTTACGTCGACTTATAAAAGGCCGTATTAGACATTTTAACTACTTTCTCTTACAGTCCGTCAGAATGGAAGTGGAAAGTCGCATTAAAGCATATAAGTTCGTGGCTTATTCAGCTGTGACGTTTAGCGTCCTAGCGGTTCTTGCAGTATGTGTCAGCTTGCCGATGGTGTACAATTATTTTCATCATGTTCGCACCCAAATGTACCACGACATGAAGCTCTGCAAAGTAACTTCACCAGAGCTGGCATCAATCTTTGATACATGTGAATACATAGGGATCTGCACGAGACATTTTGATGGAAGTAAGAGATCTGAAAGCTCAACCAAGCGAAGCTTTCAATCGAACAAGAAGGCAAGCCGGATATGGTCCCAGACCTTCACTACCAATTGAAGATAGGCCAAGTATATCCATGATTCACGGTGGCGGTGGTGGCCGTGGCGGTGTTGGCTGTGAAGGTACGGTTAGGCTATTCAGATTTTGAACTTGATGGAAACGAACGCAGGTTGCTGCATACCTGGACCACCTGGACCTCCGGGGCCGCCAGGGAGACCAGGAAGACCTGGTAAGCCCGGCATGCCTGGAATACCCGGTATGCATGGAATTCCGCCTCAAGTTCCCTGTGAATTTGAGCCTCCACCAACATGTCCACCTTGTCCGGCTGGGCCACCCGGACTTCCGGGTCCTAGAGGACCAGCAGGTATGAATTTTGGTTTTTATTCTTGTCGCTAGATTTTTTCAGCACGCAACTCCATAAGCACTTACTTGCGAGTTAATGTTACTTCACTTCATCTGGTACGGTGAGTTAATGCCTGTCATATCCATGCAGGCTTTTTTGGTACAACGAAGTATGACCATTTTAGCGCATGATTATGCTTGAGACCAGCATAGAAAGTGGGAACTGTTACATGCTTAAAATTTCCAGGCGACAGAGGTGAACCCGGCTCACCTGGTATGGATGGTAGCGACGCCCCACCAGGACCGCCTGGCCCACCTGGTCCTCCTGGTCCAGCAGGATTGCCTGGACCTGATGGACCACCTGGCGACCCAGGAATGGACGCTACAGCTCCAGCAGCAAAAGAAGGTGAACCAGGTGAACCTGGTGACCCTGGACCAGCAGGTCCTCCGGGTCCAGCTGGAGATCCTGGATCGGTAAGTTAAGAATTGCTAAATTTTGTTCAGAAGTGAACAGCAGCGTTGTAACACAAACGCAAAATTTTGCATAAAAATGATTATAGGACGGAATGCCTGGTCCGCCGGGTCCAAAGGGCCCAAGAGGTCCCGAAGGAGAACCTGGAGTGGATGGAGTGCCCGGTCCAATGGGACCTCCTGGGCCACCAGGCCCTCCAGGCGAGAAGGGTATCTGTCCAAAATATTGCGCGATGGATGGTGGAGTTTTCTTTGCTGATGGTACGCGACGATAAATCTCGAATCGAATCATCAGACTATGAACTGCGGCCGCTAAAGAACTTCATCTTTCCGACCCTTAAGAATAAATTGCAGTTTATTCTACGATCATGTGATTAGTTGTTCCTAGCTTTCGTGAGCCATTAGTATCACACTGTTATACATAGAAACACCATTTGTTGTTCTTGAAACTGTTTAGTCACTTGTACGTGTAGGTTTGAATTTTTGAATCCATGTTAAACAGTACTAACGTGACAAAGGAAAGCAACGTTATCGGTCTTTGATGCTTAGCGAATAATCGACGTTTGCTTTAGTGCAATAAATTTTTATTAGCCATGTTCAGCCGCTTGTATGTGTCATCGCAATATCGTATAAGCGACGTGCAAAGCATAGTCAGTTAAAGCCAAAGCATTCAGTCAAGGGAACGTCGCTCGTCGCTTCAGTCGTCCGTCGTCAGCGCTTTAAGTCGAAATGCGCTGCGCCGTTACGGTGTTTTCTGAGTTACAGTAGAATTGCCAGCGCGATGTGCCAGGTGGCCAACCTGTTCTTACCTCTACAAGCTTGGCAAATCAACGACGAAGACTGCTCGGCAAACATTGGTTTTGCCAGAAGGTCGCGGCGAATCAATTGTAACCGAATGCCTTGTATTTCCGAAATGACCAGCTTGTTTTTATCAGAAATTGTTCGGAAATGCCCAAACTGTGCAGCCGGCGCGAAGGTTCACGAGCTATTATTGGAAATTTCTAACTTTGAGCAATTTGGGCTCATAAATGTCTGATCTGGCTTGAACCTTGACCAAAATTTGAACTCATAGGTAAGTAGAAAGAGCGGTAGCTATTCAGATTGCATTCATTTACCACAAATCCTAAATAGCCTAACTTGAAACTCTGTGACTTGTCGGTTACTGACGTGGAATGGTTCGCTTGTTCTGTGCACCTGTTTCATCCATTGGCTTGTCATTCAACAAGCAAAGACGGAGAGCTGAAGAAGACGTATCGTGCAAACAAATTTTAACGACCAGCCAGCTTTCGACAGTGCGCGCAAGTGCTACAGTAGGAATCGCCAAACTGTCACCGGATTTTCCATTGTTGAAAAATGCATTTAATAGGCTTGCACGGAGGAAATGGAGCAAACGAACACCATCGAAAAAACGCGGCGTTTCCGGTTTTCGAATGCCTGTCGAACGCGGCGCGGTGCTGCACCTCTTCTCCTTTCGCGTTGCCTCGCTTCTCTTCGTTTCGATGTTTTCAATAGTGCAACAAAGCTCCATTCATCTTATTTGTTTGCACTGAGACAAACCACGCAGTTGAGCTGTGACTTACGTATCCTCCGACTGCAACCGTTTGAGTAATGGTTACGGAATCTGATTTCTCATGATCATAACTTCAGCGAAATCCCGTCCAAAACGAACAACTCACATGAGCACGTGGTAAAGTTTTTTGAGTGACAAGTTCAAAAACGGCCGTTGGAAAAGGTCTGATCCAACTAAATGAACAATGCGTTTACGCAGTTAATTCCACGGCTTCTTTGAAGTAGAATTTCACCTTCGATTCTTCTGAAGTTCTTTAACACGGTATGAATATCGAATCTTAGTCGATTTAACAGAAACGAAAGTCTTGGTCAGATTGGAAACGGAAAATAAATACACCTTAGGAACCAAAGCACTTCATTTGCAAAATTTTTCGATGTTTTCTGCAAATTTTGCAACATTTCAACCTAACCGTAAGTCATCTGACTCGTGCGATACACTTGCTATAAGCAATTCTTCCAAACGTCAGCAACTGCTCATTAGCCAGCACCATCTGTTCAGTCATGATCTCACCTGCCTTTCTAAGCATGGTACACAATATAAAATAACAACCCTTTTTCTATGCCGTGATTACGAACATTATATTATAACGTGAATAAGAGATTGTACCGCCTTATTTGACCTATCAGAATGTTGCCCGTTTTCTTGCGAATTTTCTCCCTCTGCATACCTGAATTGTGATTATACGATTTCGGTTTTACATTCCATCACACATCGATGATATATTTTCACTGTTTTCTGACGGCTGCAAAGAAATCGCTATTTCTTCTTCCTGAGATCATTCAACTTAAGCAATTTCAACTTAACAATTCAATCTCATTATCTGTACCTGATTCAAAATTACATTACGCATTGCAGTTATTTTCGCGTGTGAAGCTTATTAATTTCAAGCCAGTTATCAAAATTTGTTAGTTTAGACAGCGTAATTTTTTAAAGGCAGCGTAATTTATAAGCAAAGTTCTGACATTTAAAACTCCTAAGCATTTCAGAACTCAGGCATAACTAGAAATTGTTTTTGCGAAATTTTATAGGAATAGCTTGATGCAAATGCTAGCAAAAATTTAGTTCATCAAGAAGCAGTGCATCATCCTTAGCCATGATGATACAATCAAGAGATACGCTAAGTAATCAGTACTCATCAATCACACGCATACACACACTACTAGCTAAACACAAACTGCCTACAAAAATGTATTCATTATTTTAGATACTAGTAATTCACCTTGAGATAATCATTAAATGAACCTGAATTTGCAAGTAAAGATACTTAAGTAACTTCTATAAAGAACAGTTGTATAGTTCACTGGTCCTCCAAGACCAGATTCGACGGTTTAGTGCATCGCCCCTTGATTCTAATTTCTTAGAAAAAGCCATTTAAACTGGCCACGGCACCGCGATATTTGAACGCTTGCAGTGCTAGGTGTATCTAGAATAGCTAGAGCCACATTACCCTAATCATAAATGATGTTTCATGAGCTGATACTTCATGAATGCTACTGCATAATATCAAAAACATTTAGGCGAAAGGGCAAGCCGCATGCATTATCGTCTTCTCCCAGTGCACATTTTTGCCATTCCTACTTCTTCTACTCCAAAAAGTACCGCTTTCCGCTTACGATAAAAGAACTCTAAGAAATATGCTCGACTTTGCCTAACTGAAGTATTAACAACTGCTTTCTTCTGCGGGAAAATCTGCTCGTAATAAAAATGTTTTACTGTATTATGTACAGATTAGAAACGAAATAAAGTTTTATTTGATAGCCATCGAAATAAGCGTACTAATATTCTTAATACATGCAGTATCATATGCAGCTAATTGCCTAAACGGTTAGATATCTTAAAGGAGTGTGCATAACAACTAAAGTTTTGGAAAATGAACAGCATATGGCACAATTCATTCTCTATTAGCTACTGTACTACTCAGTAGCTGAAAAGTTTTGTCCTAAACCTTAAACCCTTAGCAGAATTGGAAGCAGCGACAAATTCTTGAGGTTGAGAGGGATGCAAACTTCCCTTATGCCTCTAGAATATATCCCTTTAAGAAAAAGACATGTTAATTACAACTCTGCGGAAATGTTATGAAATGCTGTTAGAATTAATCCCTCATGGATACACAGAAAATTCTTCTCGCCATCAATTTTATCCTCTGCTCAGAGCAAAGTGACTCTTGAATCTAGACAGAAAGGAAGATCCTGTTGATGACATCTGGAAATAAAAACAAGGAACTTTTTCCACTTCGTTGGATCACAAGACCGAGAAAGTTGATGCTATACTGT